TCTTGAGGACCTGCAAGGAGAGGGGCCAGTGGAGGATGAGCGAGCGGCGGGGGAGCCCTGGGGGCAGGGATGCAGGGCAGTCGGAAAGGGAGCCACCTTCTCGTAGTGGGTCTCCATGCAGAGGAAGATGAAGTAGGCCGTGGCACAGGCCAGGCAGCCCTCGAGGTAGGAGCTCCCCCCAATCTTCTCGGCCTCTGCATAGAAGCTGTTGAGGGTCTTCACGGTCTCCTCGAAGAGCTGCCGCTCAATCTGGAGGGGGAGAAGGACAGGGACCATGCTGAGGTCAGCCTCCCTGGACTGTGGACAGTCACAGGTGGGAGGGAGGATGGCAGTGGTAGGCCCATGCTGGTAGGGGGAGATGCCCACAGGCAAGACCAGAGAAGGGGCAGGTGCCTGTGGAGCACTGGACTGGGAATCAGGAGACCTGGGGTCCGGTCCAGACTCGACCATCCACTAGCCATGTGGCCTTTTGCTAATGACTTAACTACTCTAGCCTCGGTTTCCACATCTACAAAATGGAAATAAGAATGGCTACTTGGCCTCCCTTGGAGGCAAGAAACTCCCACCATATCATACATGTGAACATTTTCTGTAGGGGCTCAGGCAGGAATTCTAGTGACTTTGTCACCCTTCCCATTTTGATAGCTGTGAAAGCGCCCAGGTCCTAATTGGTAGGGGCCCCCCATGTTTGAATGGGACTCCAACTGCCTAAGACTGTGTAAGACCTCAGGAGTGTCTCTCCAGGACAGGGCACTTTAAAGCTAAGAGGTCACAAAGGACACAACAGCCTTGTGTGTTTGCACAACTGTCCTGCCTGCATCAATAATCATAATAGCTAATATTAAGCTCTTTCTATGCCTTCTATTTTTTAAAAGCTTATATACGTGTATATACACACTCGTGTGTGTGGGGGGGTGTATTTGGGTTTTTTAAAAATATTTTATTTATTTATTTATTTAATATTTTATTTATTTATTTGTCAGAGAGCGAGATCACACACACAAGCAGGCAGAGTGGCAGGCAGAGGTAGAGAGAGAAGCAGGCTTCCCACCAAGCAAGGAGCCTGATGCGGGACTCGATCGCAGGACCCTGGGATCATGACCTGAGCTTAAGGCAGCGGCTTAACTGACTGAGCCACCCAGGCGTCCCTAGATCTTATTTATTTGACAGAGAGAGATAGCAGGAGAGGGAATACAAGCAGGGGGAGTGGGAGAGGGAGAAGCAGGCTTCCCACGGAGCAGGGAACCTGACACGGGACTCGATCCCAGGACCCTGGAATTGTGACCTGAGCCAAAGGCAGACACTTAACAACTGAGCCACCCAGGAGCCCTAAAGGCACTTTCAGATAACAATGTAACATTGTATGTCAACTATACTTCAATTAAAAAATAATAATAATATTTTTATAAATTCATCTGGCAACTGTAGATCAAATTAAGCTATTGCTGGGGCACCTGGGTAGCTCAGTCATTTAAGCATCTGACTTCAGCATAATCTCAGGGTCCTGGAATAGAGCCCCTTGTCAGGCTCTGTGCTCAGCAGGCAGTCTGCTTTTCCCAGTCCCTCTGCACCTCCCCCCTCCCTCTGCCCAACCCTCTCCTTCTGCCCCTCCCTCTCCCTCTAGCGCCCTCTCCCTCTCTTTGCTCAGGTGCCCTCTCTCTCTCTCTCTCTCTCAAGTAAATAAATAAAATCTTTTAAAAATAAATTAATCAATTGCCTCATCTGAAAAAAACTTTGCGAAGTTTAATCTTTTTTTAAAATTTTTCAAATAAATAACACAATTTCATGCATTTTTTCACTTTCAGCAGATCAAAGCTCTGTTCTGTGGTCCAGACTGCCATCATCTCTGGCCTCTTAACTAGTCTCTCTGCCCCCAGCCCTGCCAAGAGAGCCTGTTAAAGCCAGAGCTTGTCACAGCTCTGAAAAAGAGCTTCCAAAGCCATCTCATTGCCCTCCAAGTAAAATCCAAGAGGTTCTTAAAATGCCTGCTAGGCCCTGTAGGGCCTACAGGGTCTAGCCCTGCATCCCCTGAGCCTGCCTCTTACTCTCCTACCCCACCCCTAGTCCCCACTCCAGCCACACGGACTGCCCTGCTGCTTCCAGCAAATACGCAAGTCTTTGTGCCTGTGTCCTTGGATGCAACACTCTTCCCCCAGACTCCCCTACCCCAGGCTCAGGTCTCACCTTATCTCACAGACCTCCCCCACCACTCACCTCTCCCCAGCTCCTCCAGCCCTGTGATTTCCCCCCTTATTTTTCTAGTATTGGTCCCCCCAGAGCTACTACATATTTACTTGCTATTTTATTCTTCATACCCTCTAAGAGAAAACAAACTCCAAGACTTCACTTCTAGATGCCTGGTGGCTCACACAGAGCAGTTGCTCAGTAAATACTTGTTGAGTGAACTTGTCCAAGGTTACACAGCTTGGACCTGAGTCTGTGCTCTTTGATACATAACCCTACACTATACATAACCTACACTAGATTAGAAGGTCATGCTCCAAGTTCAACAAGTGTCAAAGTGTCTATAGCTCCATTTTTTACATTCCTTGGAACACCCCCTTCCCCACTCACCACTGTAGAGGATCAGAACAGTCCATCACACAGGTTAGGGACCTTCCACCCCCAACTAGGACAAAAGGTCTCCCCAAGAATAGTCAGAAGCTTTGGGGTCCCCAGTCACTGTCCCTACACAGATCTTGAGTATATGCATAAGAGAAAATTATGCTCTACCCCAAGAGTCCCTATGCCCCAAAGGACAGGCATGTCCTTTGATGAGATGAGGAGTGTCATAGATCCCTAAAAGCTGGTTAGGGATCGGATTAGCAAAAGGCAGCCCGGCCCCACCTTCCCAAGCCCATTCAGATGGGCCTGGGCTGCTGAGTGGAAGGGTCTGCCGCCGCCCTCCTTGGACTGCGCCCGCCCTTCAGAGGGCAGACGACAACCCCAGGCCAGTTCTACAGAGGCCTGGGGAGAGGGCCATATGCGCCCCGGAGCCAGAAGCAAAAGCCGGCAGCAGGAGCTGACGCTTGCCAGGGGCTGGTGGTCCGTGAGACACCCAGGTAGCTGAGTCTGGAGAGAGAGGCTGTGGACAGAGCCCTTGGTTGATGACCTGGGCATCAGGATTTTTTTAAGCTCTGCAGCTAGGGCTGAGAACTGCTGCTGAAGAGGGGAGACAGCCAAAGCCGCTGCCATCTCAGGACTAAGGAACACACTTTTGTTTAACAAGCTCTCTGGGTGAGTCTTGTGCTGCTGACGTTTGGGGGCTGCTGAACTAGGAAATGTGAGGCCTTCCCAGCTTTAACTTTCCATGTGGGGATGGCAAGACAATGTCAGGGACATGGTTTAATGCTTGCATGTGAAGTGACTGAACAAGTGTTGTGACACATGTTAGTTTTATCCTGGAAAAGAAATATGTCTGATTAAGTCCTCGATTCCCTCATGGCCTGTGTTCCAAGTTGAGGGGGAAAAAGTCATCCTCACCCGGCTGTCCAGCTCTGGGGGGAATTTGGTCTGGAACTGACAGATGGTCCCATCACTGTAGTCTCTCTGGATAAAGACCTTGGTGGCCAGCGAGGCACTTCGCCGCAGCTCCTGCAGATTATGGACCTGAGAAGGCACACAGGACACACACATTCAGGGTGACGATCCATCTAGGTTTGTCCAAGACTGGGGGTGGGGGGCGGGTGTCAGGATATGGTTCTTACAGCACTAAAGCCAAGAAAGTTCCCAGCAAACCAGAACATTAGCCAACCTACCAGTGCTCCAGGAAGGCCACGGGGAAGCAGGACTGTGGAGCTTATCAGACAAGACACCTCAGGCTACCCCAGAAAGATCTAGAAAAAGCCTGAAGCAGAGCCAAAGCTGAGCCAAAAGGCAAGGTTCTGGAACCATCAACAGAGCCAGAAACAAATTTTAACAAGAGGAAGAGACTTCCTGGTGGCTGGCCCAGATCCTTCTCTCTCTCTCTCTCTCTCTCCCTCTCTCTCGTTCCCTCCCCAATTCCCCTCCCCCACTTTTCCCCTTCCCCCTCCTCCCCCTCCTTCCTTTTTCCTCTCTCTCTCACACACACACACACACACACACACACAAACTTTCACACCTTTGTTCACTTAGCAAGTATCAAACATTTAGAACTCATTAGGCCTCATACTTGGGGAACTCAGCCCCTGAATAAGACTGAGGTCTCAGACCCCAGAAGTGGGGCTTACAGCAGAGTTGAGGAGGGAAGCATGTAGACCAGAGGAAGAAGGACCTGATATGCCCACCACCTTGGAGGGAGATTCAAGTTCAGGACAAGTTAAAGCCCAGGTCAGAAAATACCACAGATAGCTTTCCCATCCAGGACCTCTCACCACAAGAAAGGAGGGGCCTCCAAACGCCCAGACTTCCCCAGAGAAAATTATGGATAAAGTGGGCTGAAGCCAGAAATTAAAGAAACACCTTGCCTTGGTAGAAAGGAGTGGGGCAACTCTGTCCCTTGCCCACACCTGCAGACTTGACCTTGACACAGACTCTAGCATTTGAGGGGAGTGGGCTCAGTTCCACAGAAGGACCAGGCCTCTTTCTTCCATTTCCAGCCTTGGCCACCCACATCTGAAACCAGCATTCCACTGGGTAAAATATGCCAAACATTGGAACCACGTGGAGACCAAGCCCCAGGGGCAGAGTGAACACACGGCCAGTTCATCCTGTGTAATTAAAGTGAATCCATTCAGTCATTCCTTTCATTTATTGAGTCCTTACTACTGCCAGGCTCTGGGGATGCTGGGCAAAAGACAGTCTGTGAGCTCCAGGGAGGAAGACAAGTAAATATATAATAAATTAGCCTGTGATAAATGCTTTAGAGAAGTAACATCTTACCCAGAAATGCTTACTCAGAAAAGACTTCCTGAGGTCTGTGTTGAGTCATAAAGGAAGGCCAGGACTTGCCAGTGGTAGGGGCAAGCAGTGGGTAGGGACAGGACGTAAAAGCAACCCAGACAGAGGGAGAAGCTTCTGTAAGGGAGCAAAGATGGCAGAGAACCTGGTCTGTTCCAGCGACAACAGGCAGTTTTCAGCAAGACTTTGTGGATTAGGTAAGAGCGGGGCAGGGGCGAGGGGGTGACAGCGTAATCACGGAGAGCTGGGAGGGGGGCGCACCTAGAGGAGAAGGTGTAGGATTGAAGACACTTAAACTTGCTTAAAAGCTGGGGGAAACACTCAGTCAGTTAACCATCTGCCTTCGGCTCAGGTCATGATCCTAGGGTCCTGGAATAGAGTCCCACATCGGGCTCTTTGCTCAGCGGGGAGTCTGCTTCTCCCTCTACCTCTGCCTGCCATTCCCCTGCTTGTGCTCTATCTCGCTCTCTCTCTGACAAACAAATAAAATCTTAAAAGAAAAAAAAAAAGCTGGGAGAAAGAGGGGCACCTGGGTGGCACAGTCAGTTAAGCATCCAACTTGATTTTGGCTAAAGTCATGATCTCAGGGAGGTGAGATCGAGCCCCATGCCGGGCTGCACACTCAGCAGGGAGTCTGCTTAAGATTCTCTCTTCCTCTGCCCCTCCCTACACCATGCTCACATGTGCTCTCGCGCTCTCTCTTGCTTGCTCTAAAATAAATAAATCTTAAAAAAAAAATAATGGGGGAATGGGGGAATAAGTAATAAGAGAAAGGTAGGAGCAGGTAATTGGTAGATCAAGGTTCTGAAAAGGAGAGAATCAGAGACTTTCCTAAATCCAGACAGCCCTTGCTCTTCATGAGAGAAGTGGTCCCCAGAGTATTGGGACTGAACTGAAGAATGTATGGTGCTCCTCTCATCTTCATAGGCCTTGATTCCTCCACTCAAGGTTTTAGTTGAGAAAGCCCCCTTGACATCCACTAGGGTTCTATGATAACTTTGAAAATCAAATTAAGCTTTGGTGATATAAGTACATTATTCATTAATGTGTCTGCTCTGTCTGGTTAAGATTTCATATTTTTTGTATTTTCCAAGGAAAATGGCTGTGGTCTTCCTCTGCCCTTCTAAAACCAACTGACATGAGCCAGTGAATCTTGAGGATGGGTTCCCCTAGCCCCAGAAGGACCATTCAGGTAGCTCTGTGTGGGATGCATGGGAATTGGGCATGACTGGGGTAAGAGGCCAGGTGAAGGGATGCACTATCTTTGTAGTGGTCCAGGGAAACAAAAGTAGATCTAAACCAAGGAATGTGCTGGTGAGAATGGAAAGAAAGGGAAAATTAAAAAAAACAAACAAACAACAACAACAAAACAGTGCTTCAGTCATTCTGATATGGACTCAGCTTCTCCCCCACAGCCTCCTTTTTCTCTGCCTGAGTACACACATGCACTGTGTGCTACCATGAAGGGCTGTGTCTCTCGTTACTGGCTAGCTGTTGACAACAGCCCTTCTTCTTTCCCCCATGCATACAGTTAGATTAATCCCCAGCCTGCCTTACAATTAGGTGTGGCCATATGACTGAATGGAATGTGAATGGAATGTACAGGTTTGGCTCACAGGACTAGCCACTCCTCTGTAATCTTTGCCCTTCCACAGAAACCAAAGAAGCCGTATGTTGAAGATGATGGAACCACAAGTTGGAAAGCGCCTGGTCCCTGAATCAGCCTGGAGGAGATCCAGCTGCTGGTCAGAATCACTTGTCTGGGACTTTACTGAGCAGTAAATAAACTTCTAGTTTATTATTCCATTAAGATTTTAGGATGCTACTTTTCATAGTATAGTCCCATCTCCTCTTGGCTTTGATCCATGGGTTCTCAAGTAGCCAGAGTAGGAGGGGTTAACATCCTTTCCAACCCCAAAAATCCTGAGTCTTAATCCTCTGAGTGACAAGGGATCTGCTTCCCTCCCTTAGAGTACTTGTGGAGTCTTGAGGAGTTGCTAGAAGAACCTTGAGGAGTTGCTATCAGACACATTGTATACTCTAGAGCCTTCATCTCCCAGATCTATGTACAGCACAACAGAAGAGTCATCTGTAGTTGGTGAATGGATAGATTTAAGGCAGAGCAGCGTCTCCTGGCTCTCTCCATCCACAGTGGCTCAGTTGTGAAGTACCGAAAGGCACTGATGGAAAGAAGACCCACTGACTTGGGAGCAGGAGACCTGGGTGCTAGTCCAGGCCACATCACCCTGGGCCTCCATTTCTTCAACTAGAAACTGAGAAGCTGGAACAACATAAGTACTTAAAGCCCCGTCCGGCCCTGACCCTCAAGAGGCTTTCTCAGGGATTACGAATGCCAGTGTTTATAGGGACTAAGTATGTATGTGAGCCTGGTGAGGGCTGTGGCTAATCAGAGAACATCCCTGAAAGCCATGTGAGAATGTGAGCCCAGGATGCTGCACTTCTGACATTTTTTTTTCCTGCTTCTGACATCTTAAGAGAAGCCATAAATCCAGATTTCTTTAATACCAAATATCTTGATATTTTTAATGTTTCCAATACATTTTTACATTTGTAAGCACAGAAGCGGACCAAATGAGGCACAGCTGTGAACGAGACTCATTTCTAGAAGGGTCAGTTGAGGACCACTGAATGAAGAATCCCATCACTGGGGCCCTTGAGCCAGAGCTAGAGCCAGACTCCAGGCACTTGCCAACTACTTAGCTTTCAGAAAACAAGTGGGGGGTTTTAAGAGAGATCCATGATGCTCTGAAATCCCATGAGAGGATCCCAGAATATGCACACAGCTTCTGTGTCTGCTCTCCCCGAGTTTCTTAACTGACCCTGACACCTGGGCTTCTCATCTACTTCTTACCTTCCTCAACTCTGCCCTCTCTCCCGCCACCATCACCTGGCCTGCCAGCAGCTGAGTAAAGACAGGACCAAGAGGCACTTCACAGGGAAGAAAGAGAACATCAGTGGTAATATCTGCTGGCACCAATTTTCGAACTTCAGTAGGACAGGGATAGGAAGGCTGTCTGAAGAATGGGTCACCCACCTGACAGAGCCAACCTGGTAGAGGTGGGGAGGAGCAAGCCCCAGAATTTGGAAGAGCACTCCCAGTCCCAATCTGCCCAAGACAAAGCAGGAGGCCCCATCTGGCCCGCATCTCCATCCTCATTAAAAACTAGCTAATTCCAGAGGATGCATTTGAGGCTCAATTCAAGAATCAGGAGATTCAGCTAATGAACCAACACCATGCTTGCTCCCTGGCTGGGGTGTGGAGGAGGAGTGAGGATCATGAGTCACAAGCAGCCAAGTCAGGCCTCGGGATGGAAACCCAGGCATAGGGCCTTCCTTCTTCTAAGCCTGCACCAGGGCCAAGCCCAACCCACTGTCTGCTGGTTGTTAATTCCAGGCTCAGAGATCAAACCTCCAAGTGCTTTGCTTGGATAATGCTACTTGGGTGCATTTAAAAACCTCTTAGAGACCAAACTCCACCACTCAAGGAAGCCCCTCCCAGCCAGGCATTTCCCAGTTGTCCTGGGCCATCTGGACTCTTTCCCAGGGTGGACCCTGCTCCTGGTGACACAGATTCTAAGAGATTTGCCGCTCAGGAAATGGGCTCATTACAGTTGTCCAAATGAGGTCAGTATTTCACTCAGGAGGATCCATCTGAGTTCCTCACACGCACTCCTCCCCTAATGGTAACTCCTCAACAGAAACTAGGAAGCAGAAAAGACCCAGTTTCCATGCCTTCCACATAAGGATCCAGGGACATCCAGTCTTCCTTAATGTCTCTCCTCTCTCCCTCCCCCTCTGTCTTCCTGTCCCTCCTTCTCCTTCTCTCCCTCTCCCACTTCCCTCTCCTTCTCTCTGTTCTTCTCCTCTTTACCTCTCAAAACATCTTCTGCTGGAACTGAGGACTTCCCATTCGGAATCCAGTGGGGATGGCCAGGAAGTCTGGCATGAGGTATTCCTTCTCCCAACAGGTTTTTCCTGGTAATCTTAACTCAGTCCTAACAGTAAAAACAGGCTGGGGAGAATGACTCACTCCACAGCCCAGATAATGTGTACATTCTGTGCCTTGGCAGAGCTAAGACTTCCTCCCTCAGTACTGCCAGCAGGGTCCACCCAAGGCCAAATTGGGAAATGGGTAATGTTTGTCCTCTGCTCTCCATCCCTTCTGGCCATTCCTCTGTCCCTCTGCCCTCAAGCCGACCCAGCCAGGATGAACAGGGAGCTGGGCTCTTCTGCATCCTTTCCATCACAGCCTCATGTCACCACCTCTAGCGCCCACCTCTCTGCTGAGCAACACCATTGGCTAATGGATATACATGGATGCAGCAGGAAAAAAAAAAACACTGACCAAGGAGGCAGAAGCTCAAGCTCTGCCCCTTTTGAGCCATATTTTCTTGAATAACTCTCACATTCCACTTGTATCATTTGTAAAATGGGATAATGATGCCTTCCTTGGCTTCTTCACAGGGATTAGGCAAGCCCTTGAGCCTCCATGAGCTCATCTGTTAATTGGGGATAATAACGCCATCCTTGCCCACTTCACAGGGTTGCTCTAAAGCTCAAAGGAGATCATACATGTGGTAGTGCTTTGTACACAGGAAAGTGCTACCTTCACAGAGGCACTGTGAGCAGAACCTCTCCCCAGGGAGAGGCATGCACGCCTAACAGCAGCCACCTAGAAACACTGCCTCAACCTAGAGATGTGAGCCTGCTGGTTGGCATTTGTGTACCACAACAGACCTGTACTGGAGAGATAATGAGACAGATGGGGCTCCTGGAATCTGGCAGAACACATCACAGATGTGGCTGCCTTCTCTGCCCACACTGCTGGCCCAGCTACACCCAGGTGGCTGACGTTGTCCCTTCCTGCCCAGCACCAGCAGCCTTTGCTGCCGCCTGGCAGCCCTCTCTGGAAGGTGATCAGATCATTTGCTCTTCCTGCTCTTCTCAGTAACTTTGGCACTTTCCAGGCTTTCTAATTATTTATTTTTGCATTCCTCCAGCCTAAAAACCAAACTCCATGGGCCTGCTTAGGACCTGCCCCCTCGCAAGGTCCGGGGTGGGGGGGACAGTGAGCTCTCCTAGCTAATCCTGTGCATTGTCACAAAGCCAAATGGCACCAAGCAACTGCACCTTGTTCTGTGGTGGCCATGGCAGCAGAATTACAATAATAACACTTGGTATTGATGTCACGCTGCTCACCAGGATGCCCAGAGGCAATGCACAGAATCATTCAAAAGCCTATGCTGTCTGTCTCCCTGGCTTGTGTTCCAGCTGGGGTAGAAATGGGGAAACACCGCAGAAGTCAACGTCAGACCTGGAGAGACCCTGGTGTCCTGGGTTCCACTCCAAAAATCCAAAGAAAGAAACTTTCAGTTCTGCTAACATGCTGTGCATTGAATAGGTCCTCCCCTTCTCCATGTGTTAGCTGTACCGCTTATACAGTGGGGACATAAAGAGCTGCATTTCCCACATGAAATGAAGGACAACAGGAGGAAATTCCTGATCTCTTAAGCACTGCACCAAGATTCTACCCTCAGCCAACAGGTCCCTTGGTTCAGCTTCCAAGTCCCCTGAAGGTGACACACCTATTAGCACACCCTGAAGAAGACAGCTCCTCCCATCAGACATGGGAAATGCAGACACCCTGGTACAAGAAACTTGAACGGGATGAAAAAGCAAGAAAGCATGATATGCAAAAGTGGAGACTGGTCCAGGCAGCTCATTAAAACCAGTTGGGGTCTCGTCCCCTCCATCCCCATGAAGGAAATGTGGATGTGGAGGTAGGTCTGTCATCTCTTAACCAGGCTTTTGGGTTCAAAAGCTGGATGGCTACACTGCACAGCAACAGAAACCAGCTGCCTTCCTGCCCCTAAAACAGGGACAAGCTCACCTCCAACCCTCTAGGGAAGTAGTTTTAGGACTAGCAGTCCAGAGTAAGGGGAAACCCCAGCTGGGTCCCTAGAGCAAACCTGGTGCCAGTGCCAACAAGTGGTGTGGGCAGCTTCGGCACTCAGACGGGGAAGATCGCCAGGAGTAAGATGAGTTCTCAGGAGAAGCCCCTCTCCTCCACCCTGCCACTCTGCTCCCCACCCCTTCCCGCAGTATGAGATCTGGAAAACCACCCCATCCTACCCTACTCCAACCCACCCCCTCACCCCACCCCACCCCCCCTTCTTCCTTTCCCGCCCAGTCCGCCCCTAGCGGAGATGTGTTCCCGCACCAGTTGGGCACTGCCTGCGGGCCAGGCGCTCGCCCCCTACCTCAGTGGCCATGTTCCAGGGGCACTGATCCCTCCGAGCCTGAGGCGAGGCCGGTGGCGGGGGGCTGTCCGCGGTGCTGACTCCGGGAGCAGGTGGGCTGGCAGCGGCTGGCTAGAAGGGGGGCCCAGTGCACTGTCCACGGTGCTGATTAGGACGTCGCGGGCCCAGGTGCCGGTGGGTTGGTGGGCCAGCGGACGCCTGGGTACTGGCGACGGCCGCTGTGCTGTCCGCGGTGCTGATGAGGGCGCCGGGCCGGGGAGGCGAGGCCGCGCCCGAGGCTCTTCACCGCCCGATCGCCCGCAGCCGCTGCTTCTGCAAGCAACGGCCGGGTTTTTCTTTGACAGCGGCAGCGGGGGTGGGGGCGGCCGGGGGAGGAGGGGCCAGGCGCCTCCACCGACCAGGAGGGGGAAACACGGCCCCCAGACTCCGGCGCCCGCCCGCCGGAGAGGAGCCCCTCCCGCGGCCGGAGGCTTCGCTCCCGCCCGGCCCGGAGGCCCCGCCTCTCCCGCCCGCCCTTCCCCCTAG